TTCTTAAACACTTTTTAAAAGGTATGCTCTACATTTCTATGGGCACTTTGCTTCCCTGTAAATCTTAAAGGGACTGGGATCTGGAACAACCTTGGCTTTCAGGAGTAATAACTGCAATTGAGGTTTTTGGGAGTTTTAGGTGAAGCCATACCAAGCATTTCATCATCCTCTTAACTCCCCACAAATGACTGGATTCCTTCCCTAGGTGTGCACATGCAACTCCTGTCTAATTAACTGGGTCCAGTTCTGCTCTCACCCACATCATTACCCTGATTTCACTGTGATGACAAATGCAGAACCAAAGGGTACATGCCACACATAAATAAAAATAAAACCCATTCATAAATTCACCCTTAAAGAGAAACTTTGTCCTTTTTTCAGTTTAATTGATCATGCTACATTAAAAAAATAGATCTTCTCATTGATATCTGCTACAGTACTAATACTAGTTTGGGCCATAAATAATAACAACAACTATTTTTGCTCATTTCTCCATGTTAGAATCACTAAAAAAATGACAGATACCAGATTGTCCCTGTCTGACTTTCTTGCATCATATTTCTATGTGTAAGCTTTTATAGTTCTCTGTGCCTATCTCTTTGAGAAACTGCCATATCTAGTTATTTACTTCTCTTTGTCCATCCTATGACATGAAAGAAGTTAAAAGAGGATTTTTTTCCTCACTCCCCTTTGAAGTCTTTCATTCTCTAATGAAGACCAGAAAAGGAAAGATAAAACTAAGGCTATTAACATTTTCAGATTTGCTCACTACTCGTTGTTTAATGATTTTAATTGTTGAACCTCCCGAGTACTTAAATCACCTCGGTGCCACCAACACACAGGAAGTAGGGTGGTTTTTTTATTTAATTACAACAGGATACAATTCAAAATCATGTTGGGGGAAGTGTACAGTAGATATAAACAACCTAAACCATTACCTTAGGGTACACATCTCTTCATGTAGAATTTTACAAGCCTAATGAAAAGTGATTTGACCTACACTATTAACTGCAAAAACAAAACAATATTTACTTTTAAATTTACTGTAACATTAAGGGTTTGGCTTGAGAGAGAAAACCCAGGAAGCACTGGAAAAAGAAACATTGCCAAAAGCAGAAGATGAAGCATGTCTTGTTCCCCTCAATGCTGTGTTGTGCACAACAGGTCATACGCTCAGCTGGTATAAATCAGCTGCTTTACTGCTTTCACAGGAGCAGTGCAAGTTTACGTCCTGGGAAGTCGGTAGAATCCTATCTCAGGATTCTCTGGGTGTAGAGAGATAGTCTTTATATATCAAAACAAAATAAAACTACTTGGTTCAGAAAGAAAACCATGAAACAATTCATCAAAATATCATTTTTTTTCGTTTTTTTGTGTTTCTTATTTTGTGAGGAGTCATATTAAACAAACTCAGTTTTGGCAGGAGACACTGGGCTCATTAGCTTTTGCGGAAAAAGAGCAAAAGAAGAGAAAGAACATTTTAAAAGGCCTTTTCAAGGGAAGCAACTGCTAAAAATACAGAGATAAATTACAATTTAGATTTGAAAAATATTTGATACATATGCTCATTTAAGCATAGTTGGAAAAATTGTTCATTTGCCTGAGTCAGAAACAGTGAGAGAACAGGGTTAGTTCAGTCAGTCTGCTCCTTTCACAGTGGCTTTGCAAAGAAACCTCTTGAACTTGGTCATCATTAGGCTGGTCCTTGTTTGAACTGATCCACAGTTTGGAGGCTCAAGTGATGCCCCAGAGCAATACTTGACTAAAACAAAACAATCAACCCCTCCTTGTACAAAAGTAGCCACATCTACTACTTTATGTACACAGAATAAAACGGCTGGAAATTTATGAGGAAATTCATTAATAGATTGATAAACTCATCATCATCATCATGGCTAGGCTTCGCGAACGAAGATTTGGGAAGGCTCTATCCACATTTGCTACAGGCACGCTGGTGGCTTATGAGGCCAATACGTGACAGACATATCCGATTGCAAAAGGCACAACAGAAAGATTCCTTAGATGGTGTATTCTGCAATACACGGTTCTTTCTGTGTTGCCTTTTTTCCTTGAGAGTGATCCTGCGTGTGTTCTCGAAGGAGACAGCTGCGTTATAGATGGCGTGTCTCCAGGCCTCCCGATTTGAGGCCAGAGTAGACCAGTTATGGTGATCAATATGGCCAAGGCTGAGATGTTGTTTCAGGGAGTCCTTGTATCTTTTCTTTGGGGCTCCTCTCATGCGGTAGCCAGTGGCAAGTTCACCATAGAGCAGGATCTTAGGGAGGCGGTGGTCCTTCATCCTTGAGACGTGCCCTGCCCAGCGCAGCTGCGTTCTCATCAACATGCCTCAATACTTGTGACAGCTGCTTGCTCTAGAACAGATGTATAAACTAATTAAAAACTTATTACTTCAAGTTGTTAGCATGGGCATCAAAACTTTTCATTGCCTCGGCTGTACTTAGCACCACAAGTCATACTTTCCTTGTAGTTTAAATCACTTCTCCTCCTCAGCACAGGCTGTATCTGCAGATGTTGTGCTGTAACTAAAACAATCTCTCCGGTATTAATTTGGCTGCTTTGTGACTTCATTTAGTCCTGCCTTTGTCCATCAGATAGCAGTACTTTATATACTGAGATGATAATTTAAAGGGTAGGTCAGCAGCAGACTACACTTCAGCATAGGTTTGAATGCATAAAACTGCTATGCATTCCACATGGAAAAAGAATTTTGGTTACCTGGTTCTAAAAAAATGTGTATAAATTGTATCTAAAGAAATCCATTGCCAAAGGTTCACATGCATTGGTTTCAGACAACTAAAATGCTGCAAAACCTGGCACTTCAATTTTGCAGTTCTTGCCAAAGAACAATATAATAGTAATTATTTTTTTATGGTATTCACCTAGCATCATTTAATATGTGCATGGATCACAATCTTACATTGTTTGAGAGATTTTATCACTAGGTAAAAAATATACAGTGTACATTTTTAAAATCAAAACATCCATATTGTCTTTTGAATTGCCTTATAGTATGAACTAACACATACCACAAGAATGACCAACAGGTTATTCAGCAACAAAATGCTTTAAATATAAAATTATATAAATTTTGAGCCATGTTCTTTCCTTTCCTTTTGGGATCATCTATTAATTAGGACTGTATGATTATGTGATTTTTCAGCTCAGTGGTCAAACAAAGAAACGAAGCAGTTCTGTAAGAGTGGAACCGAATGAATCCTAGTTTTATACTGATTTTCTGATGTCTAATAAGGGTCAACTCCCATATTAGCTTTTCCCTCAGTGGAGACATTAATAATGCTTGTCTTCTCTGCTCAACTGCCTGCTTCCACAAAACTGGTAGGGAAGTCATACCTGTGAGTCTTGCTCTCTGTTAAAAAAAAGGTTTGGAAATGAACAAGTTCAAAAATCGGGGAGGAAAACCAGACAGAAATAAATACACCCTGATACATGCACACAGAGGTGGAAACTGCAGAAATCTCACTTCCTCAGGAAAATCTTTCTCTTTTCTGGATTTTATTCACCCAAGCAAAGCAAATTAAAAATTCAGCTAGAACAGTGTGCAACTTCACACACAGGACTAGCTCTGATAGCCATTATGGCACTCATAAAAGCACTGAGGCACTGCTTGAGACACATAACACAGTGGTCCGCAGTGTCTCCCCAACTTGCTCCAACTCCCAGGGGACTCTGATGTGCATATGGAATGTGAGACATGCATGCTAGTGCATTTGCTTGCCCCTTCACTTTAGCCACCCAAAAAGCAATGGTCAAGTCTAAGTTAGTTGTCCAAGATCCATCTAGAGCCAAAGGAAAGAGAAAAACAGCTTCCAAGGTGTAATTCTTCTAACGAATGAAGAGCCGTCTGTGTGAGGCGAGGTGACTCACTGCCCAGAGGTATTTCTCCCTTCCTCTCTCAACACTTTGGGGGAGCCCCAGTGGGGCTAAACTTTCAGAAAGCTAATGTAGAGGGTACTAGACCCCACCCTGAGGGGTGTCTAGTGTCTAGGTGTCTAGTAAAATGAAATCAGGACATTGTCCTTCATCATACGGCATTATTTTGATGATAAACCTACTGATGAATATGAAATGCTATCAACACTTGTAAACAGGGACTAGATAACTACCACAGATAGACACCCCGTGTCAATCTTTCATAGAGAAATAATGTTGGCTTCACCGCCAAACATGGTTTTATTTTCATCTATGTTGTTGCATGATAAAAGCAACAATCAACCTGCAGCATTGCTATTATCTTTTTCAGTAATGTGGATCTCTACATTAACATATAACAATAGAGAGCTTGCTGATAATTTGTTAAAGGTTTTTGCTTAAAGTATCTGGGTGAATTTAGTTGTGATGGTCACACTTTTTTTCCTTGCATTTATGCTGAGGCAAAATGGGTTTCAAAGATGTTACTGATATGACCAGTGCCAGTTCAAGAGATTTTTCAACCCTATGTGAATGAAAACATTTGCATCTTCTAGAGCAAAGATGCCTATAAACTAAATAGTCATAAAACATGTTGCAGCTCCTGGAGCTCCAGCGCTGTGGGCAACCACTTACTTGGTCTCTTTGACAGAATAGGCCCTGTGTATTGTTGAAATACAACAGGAAACTTCATACAGATACAAAGAACAGAAAATACTTTTGCACAAAAGACCTCTCCTGAAAAAGGAGAGAGGGGATACATAAAACTACAAGGGCAGGTCAGAGCTGGGGCTTGTACAACTGTCACTTCTCCTAGGTTGAACCAGAGGAGAGCAGTAGACATGGACCTCATGGAAAGAGTGTAAAGGTAATAGTCTCATGAATCAACTGGGTTTTTATTAATGCCTGCAAAAATAAGTGAAGCCAAAGTAAGGCTGTTGGCTTGAGGTGAAGAAATCTCCTATACTTTATTGCTTTTACTGTAGATGGAGCATCAATATGTATTTTCTAACAAAGTCACAAGAAGTATTTTCTTACTCATATGATATTGTAAATCCTTATATAGATAACCTTAAACAGTGTGATGCCACCTGTGTATCTGCCAAATGGTCCACCCATTTACCAGCTTAAAAAAGGATTTGGATTTCTAGATTTGACTGCATAAGCAATGGTATTTCCAGTTTTCTTTCCTAAATGTGTAATTCAACATGCAGTGAAGTAATCTAGAGAAAGCACGCCACTTAAGTTACACTTTAAACCACATAAACATGACTCAAAACAAAAACATTTGGAGAAAGAGACCTTACAGGCTTGCATTAAAATCAGCATCCCTTTGACTTCTGAGTTCAAGGGGATGGATTACCCACTCTCCTCCCCACATGCAGACTCAGAAGAGTTTTATTTTCCTTTATGCAATTGATTTTGTTATTTACCTTGGAAGTCCAGCATCTTGTTTTCTTCATCTAGAAGCTTCATCAGTTTAGAGTACAGGATTTGTTCATCAGATTTTACAGGATCTTAAAAAAACAACAGTGAAACAGCTATTGTTTCTTCCTGTCGTATTTCAGGAAACATTATTTTAAACTAAAAGTAGGATATAAACATAGGAAGCCATTTGACACTCAAAGATAGTTTAGACAGTGCTCCTTTCGGAGCTCAGAATAAAATTACAGTAACCTCTTCTGTGAAAGACAATTTAAAATAAAAATATAATATATATTTTTAAATGGTGAGCCTAATTATACGTTGATCTGGACTGAAACTGGTTTATTAATTCTGCTAATAGAGTAGCTGAAATGATTGTTTATATTCAAATTGTCAGAGAAGTTCTGTTTGACTCTCTATGAAAATCAAAATATCCAATTTCTATTCTAATGTGATTTTGGATCTTCATCAGAAATTTTACCTTGCTCTCTATAATACTAACATGTATAATATTAGTATGAGTAATTATAGCACACTATGAATTTTGATTCTGTGGCTGGTCAGTCATTCGAATTGTCAGTAATATGTGCAGATTTTAAAAAGCAGCAAAGGACATGCACACTCACCTTTTTCCATGAGACCTAAAAAAAAAATATCACCTTAAAGGTCTATATTCAAGGGTGAAATGAGCAAGTGGGA